AGTGCTTTACTGAAACCTCTGTTATCAGAAGGACGCGTCGACGAATGAATGGCATGGGTTCAGAATAATATTGACCATGAGCAGAGTGATGTCATTTTCGCGAATGAGCCTCCGCTGTGGACACTGCTTCTTGAATGGAAATCTTAATTTTCCTACAAAATTGCAGTGATCTACAAGAAATGTCACTCGACGTTTACGTAAGATAATTTGTTTACTCGTCACTGGCTTTGCAGCAACCTTTGTTCCATTCAGTTACATTCTATTTTCTAACCCAAACCTTGAAAAAATGTTTTCCCTGTAAGAGGGATCATGGTTAAAATAACGACAAATAGCTGGCATCCAGTGGCTAAATTGAACCGGCGACTCCCAGCCAAATGGAATAAATTTGAATATTTGATCTTTATTAACACCAATCTTACATAGTTCGTGTACTGTATAAACAGAACCCAACGATGGTTCATGTTTGTGGTTGTTTCAATTCCCACGGTCCCGCCACTCTGTACGCGTTTACTGGCACTTCCAAGTATCTCACGATCAAATTATACGAAATGGGTTCGTTATGCAAAAATAGTTTGCTCGCGATTGTGTGGATCGTACGTTTCGAAAATCTAACGATCGAAAACACTCAGCCGTAAGTACGTCCGTTCGGAGACACCGTGTATTATGCTGTATGCGTCAGAAGACGGCCAAACCAGAATCGCGAACACAGATAGACAAATAGATGGATGGATTTGTTGGCAGAGGCCCAATGACTCTGCTCTTGCTTTGTTTTCAGGCATGGAAGTCGTGTCTCGCGAACCACCGCAGAGAAATATTTCTCTCGCGACTTCGAGAGAAGGAGATCGGGGGTTTTCCTTAGAACGGAGAACAATGCGGCATAGCATGAGCCTATGACGGGCCGTAATGCGCGGAAAAACGAATCCTGCTGATTGCGTTATTAAATTCCCCGTCAGGAAATCGCTACCGTCCCTCCCGGGAGATTATTTCAGTTAAGAGTCCACTCAGCTCTTTCGATTGTTGATCCGGTAGCAGTTTGATGAGCCTCTCGCAATATGGAAAAAAGCAATATTTGTACAGCGTACTCGAGGATCGTTCCACGGCGCGGAAATATCACGGGTTTCCTCAAGCTCGGATGATAGAAAAATATGGCTACGGGGTACCGGTTACTTTCTCGTAAAATGTTATACGTATAACGAGCGCGCGTGTTTGTACGTCGAAAACCAGGAATCGCCGGATCTGGATCTGGATCTCGGCTCTCGCGATTATTACATGTATTTTTAAGCGACACGTCAAGTTTCGCCAGTTTATCCGAGGTTTCGAGAACGTACAACGCGCGCGAACAATTTTTCAAAATATCGATTATTTGTCTATTAAAATGATAGCTTTTTCAAATTACAAACGAAACCTAAAATTTATATTTTCGTTTCTTGCATCGAAGTCTGTAATTCAAATTTTAGTTTGCTCCAACGTAGGCGCGCCTCGATGGGAATTTCGAAGCTTGCATTGTAAAAAGTTATCAATGGTCTGAAATTCGGTAATTGGGGGGTATACGAGTGCCCGTGTGTACATTTCAGAGATTTTCGATGCTACGAACGATATTCCGGAACTCGAAAGTCCGTGAGAAGCACAGAAATGGCATTATACGATGAAATGTACGGTAGAAAAAGCTTCGGTAAATTGGTTGGGAGCACGGTAGTAAACGCTGCAATTTATTCGCGTTCCGTATGCATCTAGTTCGGTGTAGTCTACTTACGAGGGAAGATTTCAAACACGGAAATTCGAAAAATGATGAAGCTCCGGGAACGTGCACGTACAGAGTATTTTGATAAGTAATACTGTCTATTATTTCGCTGCTCGAATTCCCCCCGAAGAGATGAAATCGAGCTTCGAAATTTGAACCGTATATCCTTTTATCGTGTATGGATGTACGTTGACTTTTACTTTGCTTTATATATTAGTTGTTTATTTTCTGATATCTGATGTTATTCAATTTTCCAAAAGATAAATTCGAATTTCTAACAGCGGAAATGAATATTTCAGTGTATAATTAAAATTCTAATTTTATTTTAAAATGTAAGGCAAATGAATAGAACTGTTTCTTTGGTTCGAACGTGTAAAGGTAATGAGCATTAAAATTCAGGGCAACAACAACCGTAATATTCAGACGCAAGTACATGGAATAATTTGTACCACGTCAACGTTACACCATGTATACACACTTCCCGTTTGCTTATTATCTATTTGGCTGCCTCCGTGTTTGTACCATGAAGTAAATACCTCATACGTTACAACGATACATGGCTTTCATAATATTTCATAAGTATTCTGTTTCTCTGGGGTAAATTCTGTTTGGTATTATAACTCAGCTCGTCTTACATTTTTCTTCCTTCTTACGTAAATCTTAAATATCTTCGTTTCGTGTAAATGTGTTTCTCCAATTTCATATCAAACAAAACTATATTTATTATGATACATATTGCAGAGAAGTCACGCTCCAGCAGGTTTATAGTTCTATTAATGTTCAACAATTATTTATACGACTACAGATAATTTATAACGTACACAAGTATATTGTTACCATAACTATCTCGGTTTTGTGGCCGCTGCTTTGAAACATTAACCTGCGGTACTGCTCTGAAACATTAACCTGAATATCTGTGCATATCTCTACATATAATTACCCTTAATGATTATGGTGCTCTTCAATGAAATGTTTCGAGCAAAAAAATTTGTTACACCACGTGCAGCGTACGGACAATGTAACTATCGTATTATGGATTACAAACATTATTCGCTCGGAGAGAATTTTCAGTTTCCATTGTCTTTGATCAGTCCAACAACGTGTATTAAAAATAGTTAAACTTTCCACGCGTACAATTCCGAAATTACTAATGCTTTATCCATAATTGAGCCACTGTTAGAAGAGGCAAGGCCTCCCCTTTAAAATGGTTTTTGGTTTGTGTCGATCGGACTTTCCGCTTAGGAGATATCATCGTGTAAAGAAAAGCGTAATTTTTAAAATTCCGCTCTCCGCCTTACGAAAGCCCATTAACGCGTATTAAAAATAGTCGAACTTTCGACGCGTGTAATTCCTAAACTACTAGTGTTTTATTAGAAATTGAACTATTGTTAGAAGCGGTAAGGTCTCCCCTTTAAAATGGTTTTTAGTTTTTGTCGATCGGACTTTCCGTTTTCGAGATATCGCAATTTATGTAAAAGGTAATTTTTTTAAATTCGACTATCTCTGTCTCCGTCTTACGCGTCGGGCCTCTCGCTCTCTCAGGCACGTGAGTCGCGACAGTCGTGATTGAGTGACGTCACGTTTACTATTTACTACGATCACGCGACGCCAATGGCCTCGCGACGTAAACAATGAAACGTAAACAAACGCTTCGAACCCTTATATCTCCGGAACTAGCCACCGCATCGACTCGAAATTAAAATCATCATATCTCCGGAGCTAATAAAGCTATCGACTCGTACAAACGCTCATTTTAAAGGGCATTTTATACTCTATCGGATGAATATAACAACTATTATAATTTATGCCGTCTTCTATGTTTATTTTGAAATTTACTTTGACTCTACACACCCAAAAAATTTTCAGCAATTCCTACTGGTCATTTAACCGGTACATAAAGTGTGAATTTGAAATTTTTGACTAACTATTAGTAAACGACAAAATTTTCTTTCCCTTCCACAGAGACTCGCCTATCATTCGTTTACTTATCACTGGAATATTTTTACTTTTTAGTAATGCTAATATTCGTTGAACAGTCGCGAGAGATCTGCTTTAAGTACGTTTTCGAATAGAAAAAGTTTGACGCGTAAGAAAGTTTGAAGAGCTCTGGAAGTAACGATTGGCAATAGGGTAAAACGGGGTATTCATTGTTTAAGTACTTTCGAAGATTCACCCACGGAAGGATTTAACGAACGAGTAACCGGTCATCGAGAATTTCTCCGAGCTTCGACGGGGACGATTTAATGTCGCCGCGATTCGAACTACGCTCGTGCTCGAATAGAAAGATGAAATGCCCGATTACCATATTAACCCGCTGTCACTCCGTAGGGTAACATTTATTACAGCGACCGCTAATTGCTGTTATATTTCATCGTGGGCGCAATCTATGTATAATTTGTACGATTTAAAATCTGTCCGATCGTATTGCGCGCAATTACCAACGTGAAAAATCGAGGAACGGCCTGTACCGTTCGTAAACTAAAAACTGAATACGAATTTGTCAAATTGATAATGCCGGGTGTCGTTCGCTAAATCATAAAGCTTTATGCCCCCGACGCCGGGCGACGTATGCGTCCCCGGGATCTCTCGACGTGTAAAATGTAAATTTAGAACGCGAATAGAAATTTTTAAAATAGATATCTCCGGTGTCGTTTGGTAAATCACGAATAATTCACGGAACGTTCCGTGCCGCGATGCGTTTTCAAATAATTTTATCGAACGTGAAATATAAATTTCAAACAAGCGAGAATAAATTTTTGAAACTGAAAACCTTTGATACCATTTTGCAATATTCCATGATGATTTATAGAACGTATCCTGCAGTTTTGTATTTCTTGCAATTTCTCAAAATTTCCAATAGAGATTGTCGCTCGGATGGAAAATTTTTATTAAAAATTTTGATTAAAAAAAAATAGCAATAGTAACTTGTACTATATTTTTTTAAATCGCCTATCATCATTATATCCTAATGCAGACTAGCTAAATACCTGCACGATTTTTACTGTGATACTTGTTGCATCTCTAACCTCGACAACGTGGTCAACACATAATCTCTTTACCTGACTGTGAATATTCTTTCACAATTGTGTTCACAAAAAATTGTTAGGCACACTGAAAGTTGATAAGTAAGAAAAAAAATCATCATCGATCTCTCCTAATGTTTCCAACCAGGATATCTTGAGATAAAAATAATTTTTTTCTCCGATATTCGTGTTGGTTCGAACGATATAAAATTATGGTGGATAAGAAGTGTCCTTACCGAGTATGTCCAGACATCCGATTTCGGATATCATCGGGCTGGTGTTAATTTGGCACATATAACAATCCCTATCCGACTCCTTTAAATTACGAATGTGGAGCCGCCACGTGCCGTTGACGACTTCCTCCGTGGCTTGGCTGCTTCCTGTCACCCCCAAGGCGTTACCGGATACCGCACCGGACCCGGAACTTCCGTCGGTCTCGTACGAGACCGAGATACGTGCATTATGCGTTACCGTCCTCATGTGGATCGAGAGAATCGTCTGGTCCGAGGCACGTAGCCAGCCAACCTGGAAAATCCATTGTCATTTCTCTGGCCTTGCTGTGTCCAACGACCGACTCGTTACCGCGACAGAAATTTCCATGTAGTTGCTCAGATAGCCTTAACGATTCCTCAAAGCATCCCCTCGAAAACGACGAGATTTTCGTTCCAATAAATATTCGCGGGGATATTTGAAATCTGATTCGCGGGAAATTGGTAGCTTTAAAGTTTCGTACCTAACGTGGGGAAATGAAAGGAGGGTGGAAAGTCAGACTCGAGCAATGGTCGGTAGTCGGGTGGATCAAAAGGGTATGATCGAATTGGAGCTATCTGGATTCACTTAACATAGAAAAGAGAACATTATATGTCACTTGTAAAGGGTACTCCAAGCAGACGCCGTCATACATACGTAACCAACCTTGCTCTTTGATGAAGAGGCAAGGAATAGGAATGGCCTAATATGCTCCGACAGCCAACCATGTCTCCGAGCAGTGCAAAAGTGTAGCTTCTGGTCAAAGTTAGTAACGAACTCTGCGGATCATGGATGTCTGGCCTTTTGGTTTATCTAGGCCGCCCTGAGCTAACAGAAATTGTTCTATACTGCATATCAAATATACCGTCTGGTCCGGATTAAGTGTTGCAGGTTCTTTTTTCAGAAATTTAGCTATCGAATTTTTTCTTTTAACAACTAATCGTCTCGTTTGTAATAAATTATGCTGTAGAAAGATTTTAAAAAATAGAAGGTGGTATTATTTGTTTGTTGTTTGGCTAGCTGTTATCAAATTGAATAATATTTGTATGGCGAACAGAATCTAAACAGATTAGAATTAACTTGCATTTTCTATGTTTATATACTCTCTAACTATTCTTAAATATTTAGAGTGACTTGAATATCAATCGATTTTCAATAACCTCGTAACTAAAATTTAGTTATATATTACATGCGTCGAATGATATAATCTAAAATCTAAAATACTCAGTAACTTATTTCTACTTAATTTACGTATTTATTCGAATATACGAGTGAAACTAGGTCGAGAAAATTAAGCACACGTTGCACTAGTGAATAGTAATAATTGGCAATAATTGAATCCAACCTGTTATTCTTGATAGGATATTAACGCGTCACTCTTACGTCGATTTATTCGGTAATTAATTAAACGAACTATTGGAATAAGCTCCATTCGATATTGTACAAACTGTAAGAAATTGTTTAGAAAACTAGATTGTAATAAACTACATATATTTTTCAATTTTCTTTCTTATAGTCAGTTTGTTCTAATGTATAATTTAATGCTCGTATCTTAAATATGTTACAATTTTTCTATTTTTAATTCAGACCAACTAATTATTCCGATAAGCAGGAAGTCAGGCAGGAGATGGTTCGTACGTGGCTTCGTTTTTGATAAAATCAATAATCTATTCATTATGAATAGATTTATCTTTATTTCGAGCTATAAAAGGTTTAGCGTTTCAATCGACTGATAAATATTGATAAACGCTAATTGACTCGCATGCTTTTTGTGACCATTAATAAGTAAAAAACATACAGATATTATATTCTGCGAAGAAGCATACATTTTTAGTGATTATAACAATTTGTGTAAATTAATTTTTATAGTACCTCTTCATTGGTTATTATTTTTACCTTTGTTCGTGTTTCTAAATATTGTCAACGGTTTGGTAAGGAGAGAAAGATCAGTGGAAGAAATTGATGATCGTATTGGGTCAGACATTTTGATTCCGTAAGGCCTGCGACCGAAGAAAAGGCTGATCTTTGTTTTTCTTTATGGATTTTCTCTGTCAATCAAACAGTGCTTTAACAGAAACTTGGAAATTGATTTCCTTGGAATGTTATTTCAAAACGAACCTTTCGAAACGAGGCTACGTACGACAAAATCTTATTCCACATTTTCGACTGGTTTCCACCCACTTCCACAGCCTCCAAACGTCCCGTACATTCGATACGAAACTTCGTTCGTTTAGCAAAGGGTAAAAGAAACTTTACCCGTAGAATCGAAGGGAAATAAATAAGAAAACTCCTATAATTAATCGCACGATATAAGAAAGAACGTTTCCAACTATCATGAATTATTGCTCGGCGAATCGAGCACGAGCGCAACGAAAACAACAATCGAATGGATCGTAAAGTGGAACCGGCTCGTTTGCTCGTTCGTTGTCACTTTTCTTCCCCGTATGGGCGGAGACGAACAAGGTACGCCTCGGCGGGAAAAAAAGAGAAAAATCGAAAGGCAGAAAGTTCAGAACGCGATGAGAAATAAGCTACTCCTTTATCCCGAGTAAATTGCAATCTAGTTATTCCCACGGCACCGAAGCTGAAAAACGAAATTAAAGTAAAACATCGTTCGTGAGTTTGGCTAGTATTTTCTCCCAGAAAAGATCCCTGGAAACTATTTGGACTCGACGGAGGCCGAGCTTATCTTAATCCATCCCTGCCTGCCAAGCTGCCTTGAGTGGCTTTCTATAGACCGAATATTTCATCTCGGTGGATACTTTACGGTAGGACCTGTCGCTAGAGAAAATGTGTCTCCTTCGTCTCCTACTTTCGCCACAATCTCCCCCACCCTATCACCCCTTTCTTTTTCTCCTTCGCCCCCTTACTCTTCACTGTGCTGTTCGAACCACCTCCCCTTCTCGTTCATCCTTCATCCTTGGAATATACAGGGTGTATCCTAGCAGGACTCACTTTGTCGGTGGATTGGGAACACGAAGAATATAAAAAAACAACAAGTTCCAATAAACATATGCTCTATTCGATTCGAGTTTAGTTGCACTTTAGACACCCGAAGGGCTGTTACTGTGATTTTCCCGACTGCTGAGTTTGATCTAAAGGCTCTACGTACGGAAGAGGACTCTCAACTGGTAGACAGGATCCTCTAGAATAGCCTTTACGAAGGTCCTCTAGCGGATTTGGGACGGAAAGTCACAATACCGGTGCTCTCAAGACCAAGAATATAAATTTCTACGAAGAGCAAATCGATTTAATTCATTTTTAAACCTCCCTCTATTGCACGATATTGCAATAAATATAGTTTAGTCACTGGGAACGACTGCTATCAAGATTTATCTCGATGCTGAGTTTAATGTAATGGCTCTGCACATTTTTCAACTAATACGTCTAAATCGTTGGGAAAAATCCTGGGTCATTTGAGCCCCGTGAAGGATTTAAACAACCCTCAAAGAAAATTCAGTTGTTATCTTTGACGTGTCAAGAGTGTATTGCAATAAGAATATCGTATTGTGGCCAAATTGTGAGCAAATCGATTTAATTCATTTTTAAACCTCCCTCTATTGCACGATATTGCAATAAATATAGTTTAGTCACTGGGAACGACTGCTATCAAGATTTATCTCGATGCTGAGTTTAATGTAATGGCTCTGCACATTTTTCAACTAATACGTCTAAATCGTTGGGAAAAATCCTGGGTCATTTGAGCCCCGTGAAGGATTTAAACAACCCTCAAAGAAAATTCAGTTGTTATCTTTGACGTGTCAAGAGTGTATTGCAATAAGAATATCGTATTGTGGCCAAATTGTGAGCAAATCGATTTAATTAATTTTTCAATCCTCCCTCTATTGCACGATATTACAATAAATATAGTTTAGTCACTGGGAACGACTGCTATCAAGATTTATCTCGCTGCTGAGTTTAATATAATGGCTCTGCACATTTTTTAATTAATACGTCTAAATCGTTGGGAAAAATCCTGGGTCATTTGAGCCCCGTGAAGGCTTTAAACAACCCTCAAAGAAAATTCAGTTGTTATCTTTGACATTCCAAGAGTGTATTTCAATAAGAATTGTGGCCACGAGGATACACCTTGTATAGATTCCGATCGGAAAACTTATAACTAAATATAGCCATCGTTGAGGGGAAGGCTGCTCCCGGTCGGATTAGGACGGAGAAGCAGCTGAAATGGGGAAGAATTTTCCGCAAACACGTATACAAACGCAGAACCGGAATGCGGACGAAATTACTCTTCCTTCCGTTTCCTTTCCTGTTTTTCTTTTCGCGTGGCGTGTGAGCGATTTAAGTCGAATCGACCGCGATCCGTTTGACTTTCGCGCGATTGCGCGACCACGTACCCGTTGTACATATGAAGATTAAAGAGCTCCTCTATTCTGGTCGTAATAAAAAAGTCATTTTATTCTCTTGAAAGCTCAGGCGTTAGAAATGTATTGAAACTTGTGAATTTTTTAAATTTGCTCCGAACGTTTGGGTCAGTCGAGTTTTCAATCATTTGGAAGAATATTGGATGCAATAATTTGGACTTGCATTAATTTCTCTGGAACGAATTCCTAATGAAAATTTTTGTTTCGAAGGAATTTGATCGTCTGTAGATTTGCTTGGTTTTATTTTTTACAATCTGATTTTTTTCGCTACTACGTGGCCTCGTGATTGTCGTAGGAAGATTAAGTGATCGTTGATGTTAGGGAATGCGAGGTGGAGAGGAACAAAGAGCAGGGAAAGCGTCAATTTTTCGGTTCCTGGTGATTCAATTTCGCCGCGTATCTGTCACCATCAAATACTTGAGTGGCGTTTTTTAATCGTTTCCCTTGTTTGCCCGCGTCGATCGAAATGCCGCGCGAGATTACCGATCGCCCAATATTGTTGGACTCCTTCGCGTTAAAAGTTTGCTTTCGAAATCGCGGCGGATGAAAATCCATTTTAGGAGACGAATATTCAATTACCTTTCCCGTCGCACGAATCGAATAAAAACATAGTGAAAAAGTTTTCGATCGCAGCGTGCCCCTGCCTTAATCCCTAAATGCAGATTTTTCCAAAGAATTCATTAAAAATTATTTTATTCACTTGTAAAAGTTCTGTTTTCCTTCTATGTTTTTTTTTTTTATTTCAAACAGTAGATTCGTTTGCTATATGTATTTGATAAGGTTTAGGTCAGTTGATGGAGTTGACCACGAAAAGACTATCTCACTATTTTTACGGTGTGTTTCGGATTATTGTCACGTTGGGAAACCCAATTAGGCGGCATAGTTCTCTTTGTATGTGACAGAATATTTTCCTTCACTTTATTCTTATAGCCACCACTTTTCATGATGCCGTCAATTAGTGCTAAGGGTCCAACCCCTCGTGCAGATAATGCACCCTAAACCATCGCGTTCCCTTCATCGTGTTTAACTATTGGAACTCGTTCGTATTCTCAACATATAAAAGAGCTAAGAAAATAAATCGATACTTTTCCCACACAAAGATATTTACTAATAATAATTACCCATTTCCATATTTATTTCATTCGATCCATACGATGATGAATAAATACTCTGTTACGTGTATTATATTAGCAATAAATAGTTAAGCGATACCCAAAAAAGTTACCATTTTTGGATTAATATTTTCATAAAATATAAAACATGTACTGTTCAATTTTATCGACATTTCACACTTTTCGTTTAAATAAGAATAAAGAAGACCGAATTGGCCGAGGCTGAATTATTAAATACACTTTCCCAGTATCTCGAAATCTAAATTATTAAATAAAGTTTCACGGTGCTCAAATGCGGATAGTCGTGAATTATTCAAGTCTCATATCTACATGCAGCGACACTGGCAAATATATGGAAATCTCATCGTCGTATTTAATTTCGATTCGTACTGACAATTTCCTACTTTGTTACCTTGTATTTTCCTATGTTGCGAACGCTGCACGAAAAAACGACATCGCGGCTAATCGCGGCTGTCTGATTGCCAACCGGGGAGATGAATACTGGTACTGTGGCAGAACTCGAATCTGTAAAAAAATAACACAGACGTTAGTCGAGTTTCTTAAACAGAAACACATTCATTTTCCTCGAATTTCTCAAAAATTAAAACGGAATTAATTTCATTTGTCTAGGGGCTAATCTTCAGTTTTATCATTATTCCATACACGAACGTATGGTACTACTGCAGGAAAAATTTATTATGAACAGAGGAATATACTAATAACAAGTAAAAATTATTATCGAAATTATACCTGTAATACAAGACGGATTATTCGCAATATTTTTGCTCGAATTTCTCAAAAATTAAAATGGGATTAATTTCATTTGTCTAGAGACTAATCTTCAGTTTTATCATTATTTCATACACAAACGTATGGTACTACTGCAGGAAAAATGTATTATGAACAGAGGAATATACTAATAACAAGTAAAAATTATTATCGAAATTCTACCTGTAATACAAGGCGGATTATTCGCAATATTGGATAAAATATCACTTGTAATGCGTAAGGTAAATACATACAGTTTAATGAGGATCAAATATACACGTACGTATACATATGTGTACACGTAACCAACAAAAGAACAACAGGGGAATCTATCCCCTGATCTGTACTAATAAGTGGATTATAACGAGTTAAAGTACGCAATATCAGAGTTGCGGTAAACTTCGGCAAAGAGTTAAGAAACTTCGTAATTTGGTTATGGGTGAAATTGTGAATCGAGATACATAGTCGAAACCTCTGCTGAAATTTTTATTCTCAACACTGTGTTCCTCCTGTTCGCGTTAACGTAGTTAGTTGTTATTCAATATTTATCGAATCCTTGGGAAAACTCAATTTCTTACTATCTAATACAGTAGTTACTCAGAGATGTATTAAACGTCTACAAAAGCGTGTTTATCGTAGACTTGACTCAAATGCATTTTAATCCCAAATGTTTCAAAATATTTTGGAAGACGTTTAAAAGAAATTCATTTACATTTAACGTGAATCGTTATAGTTAACCCTTTGCACTCCTATGTCGAATGTAACTCGACAGCAGTTTTCATCTGAGAAGCTCCTTCGTCGAGTCCCACTCGATCTTTTTTCAAGTTCAAACCAAAGACATACACTTGAAAATTACAAAATACAGCAATAGTGTAAATAAAACAGATATTCGATTGAATTTATTTGTTCCTCTGTTTGTTTAAATTGCTCTATTTTTTAGTTAACGTAAATTTCAAATAAAACAAAATTGAAATATAATTCGGAGTGCAAAGGGTTAAATTAGTAGTATATTGGTTAATTTTGAAAAATGACGTGAACATAATAAATAATAACACAAATCTACCGTGATTATATTACAAAATATTAATTTCTGTGATAGTGATAAAATAAAGAGAAATATACAACACTGTTTCTACAAAATAATCGGACGTTTAAAAGAAATTCATTTGCATTTAACGTGAATCGTTTTAGTTAAATTAGTAGTATATTGGTTAATTTTAAAAAATGACGTATACATAATAAATAATAATACAAATCTATCGTGATTATATTACGAAATATTAATTTCTGTGATAGTGATGAAATAAAGAGAAATATACAACACTGTTGATACAAAATAATCGGACGGTAATTAAAAGTATCTGAAATAAAGCATTAATATGCGGAGTTTATTGAAAAAATTTGTACCGAACAGCTTTCTTTGGAGGTAATGGTAGTAATTAAAAGTATCTAAAATAAAGGGTTAATATGTAGACTTCGATTGAATAAAATCGAATAGCTTTCTTTGGAGGTAGTGGTAATGGTAGTAATTAAAAGTATCTAAAATAAAGGATTAATATGTACAGTTTATTGACTAAATTTGTACCGAACAGCTTTCTTTATTTCGTTTGGATTCTTTCGAAGCAGTCGATCTCTCAAGTTCCGGGGGCTCGATCATTCGAGTAACGCTCGAGTAGTGTGTTTGCGAGTGGTTGAACAGCCCCTGGGTAGGCATCGCCTAAAGCCCAACCGGAAGGGTGCATGGTTTATGTCGAGTCCCCATTCAGAGCAGTCATGAATTCACCCGAAAGCGAAACACCGTCAGTCTATCTGACTTCGAAACATTCTTAAAACACGTTGACTCTGCCTTGCACGCGAGCACTTCCGTGTGCTGAAACGATGACAGACCAAACGTCAGATGGGCACGAGAGAGGAGGCACACGTTTATTAAAGCCGCTAAATCGCTGCATCGACACGTCCCCCGTCTTTTCGCAACGTGGGAAAATATTTCCCGAGCGTTAACGGGACAGCGGGACATTTCTCTTATCTCGTTCGCTTCGGGCCGAGATTTTTCCGTCTTCCGCTCGCGCACCTCCATTTCTATGTGTCTCCATCCGCCAGCGCCTTCACGTTTCCACCATTTCTTTTCTCTCGTCGAGCGGGCGGGTTGTGTTTCATTCTTTCAATCCTTTTTCCTGGAACGACGATATCCTTCCTTGGCATTCGAGTGCCGGAAAACTCGACCCGACGCGAATATTATTCGAATTGCTTAGGCGACTTTAATATCCCCGGGCGTGTTGTCGGATGACAAACGGAGGATATCAAACTATACGGTCTATTTACACTCGGTCAAAGACCGGGTCCGTTCGTTCCTCTAATAACCACTCCAGCCAACCAGTTAAACAATTTATGTTTTACCAGAAAATGTAATAAACTACGGAATATCTGCCATTAGAAAAATATAAAAACTTCCAGCGTGTTTCTACATCAATTCTGTCAAAAAATACAAATAAAAGAACTTGATTTTTCACAGTGGTTTATTTAAGTCGTCGAGGATAAAGTTAAGATAGGACTAGGTACATATTTTTATTGATATTAATGCCTTGTTATATACTTAAATTTTATGAGAAGTTACTACGTTCTCACAATGGCGCTCAATGCGAATTTTGCATGTCTATCATTATACTTTTCACAAGAAACACAAATTTTTCTTCTGCTCAATGACGTAAATAATTTGTCACCTTATTTTCAGCAAATAAATTCTTTTTTTACAGGTATGTAAAGTAACACAAATTGCTATTGAAAAATCTCCAATTTTCTCAAACACCAGAAACATTTTCTAACGAAATTGGAACCAATTCTTACCGTTCCATTTTGACTAGCAAATCTTCTTAATTATGATTGGTCCCGTGGCAAAGATTTAAATCGTGCACCCGCGGTTTGGAGCAACCCCGTGACATTGAAACGTCGTACGTTCAGCGATGGCGGAACCCACGGGCACCGGAAACGATACGACGCTATTCGTTCTTTTCTCCGGTGTCGTGTTTCCTCGAGTGAAAGACCTTCTGTTTTTACAGCCGTTTCCAATTGCGCGGCTTTCTAGCTCGCCCTGCGTTACATTTTTTTCTTTTTTTCACTCCCACTCTCGCCCTTCCACTTTCGTTTATTCCCGCACACGGGACTTTCGCGAGCTGTTTTTCCCCCTTCATTCGTCGTTACTCGTTTCTCGCGCTACTCGGTCGGATAGCGGAGAACCACTCTCGACCTAAGTAATATCTAAATTGTTTCCGTGGTTTTAATCTTTTTGACTCCCCCCGAGGACGAATTGGGTGAAATTAGGAGACCAGGGGGAGCTTGATACGTCCCATAGCATTTTTCACGATTAATTTCTTTTTTCATACTCGAAGACTATTCGAACAAATTAGTTTTCGAATAGTAACATTTTTCTTATATTCAAAAGTTGAATCTTTCATAACAATATACCTATTCTTTCTTAATATTAAGCGGATAGTATAGCTAAATAAAAATAAAATGCTCAGTGTGAAGGATGAAATTTAGAATGTTTCAAATTATAATTATATTGGCAGACCGAACATGATTAACCAGCTGTGCTCTAAAGGCTATTTCCCTCCGTACACGATTGATGCTTTCCTTTTTCAACCACTTATACCTCCTATGATGGTTATATTTAAAGTCCTTAAGAAACATGATTTTCATTTGTAATTTCATTCTACGTATTGTATAAGTAGCAACTAAGTTCACTATCTCATGTATTTTATTTTGTAAATTCTTTTCTTTTTTTCTATGTAAACTTGTGATAATAATTCCGTAAGGGGTTACAGCGTAATAAATAAAAAAAAAAATAAAAATTATTCAGATTGAAATATTTACCACGTGACATTCAAACCAATTTATAAATACTCCTATTAGTCTCGTTTTTAACGTTAAGTAGACAGTATAACTAAATAAAAATAAATTGCTCGGTGTGAAGGTCGAGATTTAAAATGCTCCAAATTATAATTATTCAGATTATTATCTTTCTCTGGTTCGTTGAAATATTTACCACGTGACACTCAAACCAATTTATAAATATACCTATCGTTTCTTAATATTAAACTGATAGCCTAGCTAAATAAAAAGTAAAATGCTTGGGGTGAAGAACGAGATTTAAAATGTTTCAAATAATAATTATTCAGATTATCATGCACTAATCGCGTCTTAATCGTCGAGACGTCGCGTGCCGTTTGGACCCAGTTTGAAATTAATTTAAGCATCCCCGTTCGCGACGTACGTATTTCTAGCTGTCTCTCGCCCCTCTTCCACCCCTCTCCTGGCACCGTCCTTCCGGGCCAGTAAAAGTCACATCCGATGTAGGCGATATCGAAATTGCCTCCGCGGAATTTAACGTTACTCGTGCTCCTGCGGGACAAATCGTCGCGGAAATGAAACGGACTGCCCGATTAGAAAAGTACCAGAGCACGTCGTTCGTCATCGCTCGGGGAAGAAAACGAACGCCATCGCGGCGGAACGTAGAGCGGCGGGCATTCGTTACCGAAACGATGAGATTTGTTATTACGCGACAACTGGTCGTTCCGGAAGCATCGAAACAATCGACGCGTAAATTCGTTCTCGTTCGTTCGCGTTTCTGGCGTGTCAAGTACACCGGAAATCGAATATGGCGGGGTCGACAAAGGACTTTGCATCGATACGTTCACCTCTCTGCTTGATACGTAATCGTTTTGGAATTATAGTTTCGTTTCGAGTTCGAGTCTCACATT